CCCATCAGTATATGAGTGGCTAAAAAAGCTGGAGTACATTTACACAATGGAATACTACTAGATCATACAAAAGAAGGAAATCTTACCCTTTGCAACAGTATGGATGGACCTGGAGAACATTATGCTAAGTGAAATAAGCCAGTCAGAGAAAGACAAGTGCTATATAATTTCACTCATACAGCAAGTGAACAAAATAAACTAACAAAATAAAAACAGACTCATAGAGAACAGACTGACTTCTGTCAGAGGAGAGGGTGGTTGTGGGCCTGGGTGAAAAAGTTAAAGTGATTAAGAAAAAAAAATCTCACAGACACAAACAGTATGGTGATTACCAGATGGAAAAGGTGGAGGAGAGGGTGGTAAATGGTGATGGAAGGGAACTTGGGCTGGTGAACACACAATATATAGATGATGTAGTATATAACTGTATATCTGAAACCTATACAACTAACCAAAGTCACCCCAATAAACTCAATAAAAAAGAAAAAGAGAAAGACAGTGCTTGTCTGGCAGTGCTCAGCTTATTTCAAGAAAGCTTAAGTTCCTTTGTTCTTTTAATATGAGCACAGTCAGTATTAGACTGACTATATGTTACTCCCCAGGGGACATTCAGCAGAACCTGTACTTTAAAGCAGTAAATGCCTGGATAAAAATTATATGGGAATGCTGTAAAATAATTTCATAGAGTAAAATAATTTCCTGTTCCACTCTAAAGTTATACATAGCTACATGTTTATTTTATGTTATGTGATTTTGCTTTTCAGAGTATATCTTTCATCCAATGATATGAACCATAATTACTCTTCCTGCCATAAAGTTAAAAAAAATTGATAATATTAATTAGTTTTCCAATAATACTCCTCAGGCATTTATAGATTCTTTTCCATTTATTATTTCCTGACCATTTATTCTCTCACGATCTGAGTCAGATTACCCCAGGGCGGTCCCAGGTATGTAAGAAATAACAGGAAAAGAAGTTGGAGAAGAAGCAGTCATGACATCTTCTAGCACAACTTCTCTCAGCCTTGCTATCACAGTGGCGGTCACCCACTGTCAGAGTGTGTACGGGCTGTGGAAACAAGCTGTGCTCTGATGGTGAGAGACGGAGATAGGAATTAGGGCTAAATAATGTATAAAGCACTAGCTATGTTTCTGGTGATTTATATTTGCTAGTTCAATTATGACAGCAGCCAGCATCATTTGTATTAATATCCAGTTTTTTTAAGATAAAAGAACTGAAGTTCAGGGCTCCAGAAAATGTCTTCATAATCACATAACTAGGAAGTTGCAAAGCTGGAATTCAAATACATCGCACAAAAGTTCCTATGTCTTTTATTACATAATGCTGCCTCCCATGAAGATAGCACACTAGCTACTCCTCATTCTGTTACCACCTAAAAAGGAAGTCACTACCAAAATCTGACTCACCACATTTCCCTTGGAAAGCTGACTTGTAAATCCACCAAGAAAAACCTGTCTTCTATGGCTAATTCAGGGATCTCTTGAAATGGGCTGTTATCTGCGGGAATCATAAGAAATCAAATTTAACTGTCAGAGCCAGAATTCAGGCCTGGGTTTGTCTGACTGAAGACCTGTCTGCTGTTTTTGCCCTTCATGTTTCTTCAATTAATGCAAAAAAAGAAAAAAGAAATATCAATGTAATCAATATTACATAGAAATGGATTACTTTTAACTACATGTGTTTATCAGAGTTGTGTGAGTGACTTGATGCAGCTGTCATTCTTGGGCGACATTTGCATGGAAGAAGTCTCAGGCCTAAAACCTGGGAAAATCTAGCCATCAGATTATTTTAATAGATTAGCACCAACTCCCTAGCTGTAAGCATAAGAAAGTGAAAGTAAGCAAACTTTTATATTCTAAAACAAAGAACTACGATATCAGAAACCTTCGTCTCCCCACAGTGACACGCGCAAGCTTTCCTCATTGCCACCTACTCTCTCCCCACCTGAGTTGGTTGTTTTGCACTCATTGCATAGTTTAGTTATTTAAGCCTTCTATGAACCCAGTGTCTTCTATTTGGAATGATTTCCTTGATTTACAGCTCTGATCTCTCTTTAGCATATCTTCCTAGAAAGCCACACCTACAATTTCTTTGAAGTTCTCCTTTAATCCAAAAATACCAGTCACAGACTCTCAGATATGGTGTCAGAAAATACTCTCCAGCCCCAATATCCTTTCTTCCTCTCCTTCCTTCCTTACTTATATTATAGCGAATATAAGTAAGGTTAGGGTTTCCTTTTGCAGGGGGGTCTCCAGATACTACCAACTGTTCTCTTAATTACAAGTTACAAAAATTCTGTTCCAGCAAGAGCTTTCAAAGTCAACTACTAATCTCAGCTCCTCTCAAATAAACCTGTGATTTTAGTTCTAAAACCACATTTCCAGGAGTCCTGACCTCAGTATTCTAAAGTGAGTCAGAGCCCATAGGAGCACAGGAGGCTACCCAGAAGGGGAAGAAGGTTCAGAGATCAGGCTTTTACCTGGTTAGTTAAACTTGGCCAAGGCCTCCACAACAATTCAAAGACCATACAATCGTCACAAACAGTCAGAAACAATACACAATAATCAGGCATGGTATATTTCTAAAAGTACTACTAGTAACTAAGTTTGACTTGGTTTCAAAGTGATCTAGGTTGACATTTTCACTCTAATTTATAATGCTGAGCAAGGTATCGTAATCTTTTCCCCATTCCCTCAGTTTTCTCATTTGTAAAATGGGAACAGTAATAGTACCTAGCAAACAGAGCTATAATGAGGACTAAATAAGATGATACTTTGAAAGTGCTTACCACAAAACCAACCACATACTTTTCAAAGAATTAGTTATCATTGTTCATTTTCATATAATAACTTCTACATATTCTCCTTGGCATGTTATTGTTTCTAGCAAGTATCTATGACCTAGGTAGATGAAACTCTGACTAACAATCTTGAGTATATCAGACCATAGAGTACCCATCTTATATGGTGTTTGCCTGTCCTTGTTGGTTCTGCTTTTAATCATAGAACTCTAGTCCATGTAAATTTTTGCCATAATTTCCTAAAGAAAAACTGATTGATCCAAACAAGTAAAAATATTATTTTCTGGGCCTAGTTCCCTGAAACTTCTGGGTAGTTGTCTTCTTGACACAGAATTGATTTTTCCCCTTATTATCTTCTAGAAACTTCTGCCTTTAATGTCACTAATACTTATACCTATCTAACCATTATACTTACACCTATCTAACTTCTCTGTACACTACAGTATTCCTTTCTGTACATGGACACTAGAAGAAGAAATTAAGAGAAAGATAAATGTATAGAATAGCAGGCAGTTTTCTATAAATTTCTTTGATGCTCATCTAACAGAAATACTAAGAATATTGAGAAAATAGATCCTCCTCCCTGCTACCATCACTGTTGATTACAAATAAAATGTTCTGAAGCACTCTGCAATCTTATACAGAAAGCTTTGGGAGTCTTTGGAATACCTTCTCAGTGAGAGCTTAGGCTGTCATTTTTGTTTGAGTTTGTATTTTAATATAATCTAAATTATCTTCCAAGAACATTAGGTGGTTTATAATAGAAAACTATAAATTAAGGCCAAAAAAAAAAGAGTTGAAATATACAGAATAAGATAATTCTAAACTGTAATTTATTTTGTTCTGAAGTTCTTGGAATCCAAGGCAAAAAAAAATGATTTCTATAATTTTAATTATTTTTAAAATTAAAAAGGAAATAGAACTTAAACAAATAATCAACAAGCACTTTCCAAACCCATGGAAAAATGTCGATCCTCAAATCCAAGAAGTTAACAGAACACCTAATGATCTCAATCCAAAAAAAAGCATTCACCAAGGCACATTATGATGAAACTGAAGAATTAATGCAAAGAAGATTTTTTAAGGCAGACAGGGAAAGAAAACAGTAACCAGCAAAAGAAATACCATTAGATTATCATCAGATTTTTCAGCAGAAGCCTATGTGATAAGAGAGAGTGGAATTAAATATTCAAATTATTAAAGAAAGAAATCACCAAAAACTTAATCAAATTTGTACAGAAACACAAAAGACCCTTAATTGCCAAAGCAATCTTGAGGAGAAAACATAAACCAAAGGTATCACACTCCTTGACTTTAAATTACAAAGCTACAATAATTAAATCAGGATGGTATGGCAGAAAAAGAGACACACAGACCAATGCAACAGAATTGAGGGCCCAGAAGTAAACTCATATGTATATTGACAACTAATTTTTGACAGAAAAAAAAGCCAAAAACACACAATGGAGAAAAAGAAGCCTCTTCAATAATAGTGCTGGAGAATTGGAAAACCACATGCAAAGAATCTAAGGGTCAAAAAAAGACTAAAATCTCAATTTGGAGTTGATAAATCAGAAAAAGTAATTAATGGACCAACAACTATGTATTGAATACCTTCTGGACTGATGGGCCTCTAGTTATTGCCTTGCATGTAGAAGCATTCACTAGGATATAAAAATGTGATATGAAAAACTGCCACTTCTTTCTCAAAAGATACAACTTGTCCAGACCAGCTGCTTCTCAGAAAAGTCAAAATTCATTTCCAAATGGAAGAAAAAGTGCATTTTCCATTGTTTATGTCTTAAAAACAACTAATAGAAGTATCACCTCTGGATTCTTTAAAAGGGATAAAAATATATGCTCTGAAAAACAATATTTTCAAAAAGTCTGAGGTGACCAAAAGCAGTATATAATAACAAAAAACACCAACCATAACAAATGCATTAAAATGTTTATGATAGCAGAGTTCACTTAGTTCAAACAAGTTCAGCAGACACTGAACACAAAGGAAGGAATGGGAAAGAAAAAGTTTTGAAATTCTAGGAAAAAAATAGTTGAGTCATTTGTATAATTCAAGATTCCAATTATTACAGGTTATATTGGCTGTCCATATTTTTTAAATAGCAGTAGCATAAACAAAATTACTTTTCAATTATAATAGAAGTTGGCTCTACTTACTCCTGGTGGAAATGTCCGAATAATATTTCCAGCTATATTTAGGACTCTTAGGTTTATAAGATCACAAAATCTCTGTGTAAGAAAACAAAAGAGAGAGATTCTTAAAAATCTATAAGGTATATAGAATAATAAATATTTCTTCTACATTCAAACTTGATGGTGTTGACTATCTTTCCTAATTATCTGATCAATTCTTCAGTATATCCTCACCAAGGAGATCACTACATCTTGGATTGCCAGATTCTAGAGTTTTCCATTTCCTCTGACCATACAAAGGCAACATATCATGGTGGCTAAGAGTTGGGCTATTTGAAGGTTCAAATCTTACCTCTGACACTTACTATGTAACTTTGGTTAAATATCTGTCTCTTTGTACTTCAATTTCTCCATGTGCAACATGGAATTGCTAATGTCAGCTCCTACTTTGATGATTGTTGAATGAGTTAAATAAGTTACTAAGTGCTTACTAAAGGGCCCAATACAGAGTGAGCAGTTGGTAGGCATTACTATCATTAAAATAGAAAGAATCTTTGAGAAACAGACAAAATCTTAGAAAGTTGCCTCTATTGACAATTCCACCATGATTTATTTCTTAGCTCCCTTTTGCTTAGCACTGCACTCACAGAACCCTTTCCTTATAAAGAAAAATCTGTTAGGGTTTCTATCTATCTACAAGGCCAATGTGGCTGGATGTACATATACATTCACATACATGTGCAGACATACACATAATTTATAATGTACCAGAAAATGATTCATGATTTTGTCATTACCAGAACAAATGAGTATTTTCTGTAATGCTTTATTATTTATAATGCAGACAAAAAATGATAAACTGAATCATATTAAATGCACCAGGACATAAATGATCATACGCATTCTTTACATAATAATTCAGGGTAGGGCTTATTAGCATTCAAATTTTTTAAAATCTAAACTTTTTGGGACTTATAAATTATAGAAAAAGTCCTTTTAAGTTAGAAAAGAATGTATTTGAGTACCTTCTCTGACCTTTGCAAATTCTGTGCAAGTCACATAAACTCTGTTCCTTATTCTAAAATGGGCATAATAAAAAGAGCTACATCATAAAGTTGTAATAAACACTAAAAAACAAGATGATGACCATATTTCTACTGTTAAAACTTTTCCCTCAAATAAAGGACTTACACTTTTAATAGATTTATTCCTTCATTTAAAGATATTTTTTACTTGTTTATAGAAATTAGGATTTTTAAAGAATGTAAGAATAAAATTTTTGAAATATAATTATTTATAGCCTACATCTTGGTATATTTTCACATATCACATTATAGTATGCACAAAATTTTTAAAGGGTATATTCCCTTGTAAGAAAAATGAAATATCAGGAGTTGATCTGCTTTTATATCTCTGTTTACTGAATGACAGGCATTCCCTCCTACCAGATTAGTTCTAATTTGCATAAGGAATGAAGGTAAACTCATTGACAGGTTCTTAGCAGGAAACACTACTCTCAAACTAGGAAATTTGAGGAGAGTTTAGTAAAATCACTACTTATAAAAGCTTGACAGTGTTTAGGAAAACCTAAACCACAAAACATAGTTCCCTAATCCCACAAAGTTCCCAAAAGCTAGCAACAGTGGAAAGGTTTTTTTTTTGAACTGTAGGTCTGAAGAGCCAGTGATAATGGTCCATATGAGGATCACCTGACATTAACCATGGTTTTCCAAAAAGGTGTGCAGGAAACTCAGAGCACCCTATCAGGTGGGGTACCGGGGGAATGCCATCTGATACTCACTCTTCTTCCATCCTTTTATATCCTGCTAGTGCCTCTCATTGGCCATGTCCAAGAACAAGCCAGAGAACACAGGAGCTCAGTAATGCCGATATAGGTGAGTCTCCCAGATGCAAAGTAGGTTGAAAAAGGATGAAGAGTGGATATAAAGAAAAATGAGAGACATGTAGCACATATTCCAAAACCAATATGCACTTATATTTATGCAGTATATAGGGTTGCCAGATAACATATAGGAAGTTCACTTAAATTTAAATTTCACACAAAGAATATTTTTAAATATAAGTTATGTCCCATGTTAATATTTGGAACATACTTATACTGGAAAATTATTCATTACTTAACTGATTCAAATTGAAGTGAGTAGCCTGTATTTGTATTTACTAAACCTGGCATCCCTAGCTAAGTGAAATAAACCAAATTACAACCCTCCTTTGTCACAGGAACTTGGGAACTGACTACATCTAATCAGAGGGAAGGCAGATGATGGTCTGTACTCAGATACCCAAATCTATTCTATAACCCTTCCCTATTGTGTTGTGATGAGAGTTCTTCCCCAACAAAATAAAATTTTGTTCTCTATTTTGCTTACCTCTGGCAAAACTTCAATGTTGTTCCTGACCAAAAAAAGCTTCTGGAGCATGTGCATGAACTTAATTTCTTCAGGTATGCAAGTGAGCCGATTGTAGTTAAGTTGAAGTTCAGAAATTTTCTCAAGAAAACAAAGTTCTCTAGGAATACTGGTGATCCGGTTATGATTTATACTTAAATATGTAAGATTTTTTAATCTAAAAAAATAAAGCATAGGAATGAAACTCACAAAAATAAGAAAAACTACTATACAGACCTGGTTTGTGTAGCTCATCCGAATCTTATTTCAGTCAAGTGTTCACAACCATAGTGAATCATTGGAACATAAAAAAGTCTTTGTTGTAATCAAACTTTTGAAGATACTTTATATTCATATGGTTTAAGTTAAAAGTAGTTTATGTAATCAAAACCTAGATTTTCAAGAAATATAATCCTATTTTTATTATTTGTGAGTATCCATTCACTATATTGAAGAGGAAGCCAGGGAACACAGTAGGATACACACACACACACATATGCATGTATATATACTTATATGTATATAATATACATCTATATTCACAAAGTAGGATATATATATTGAACAAAGTAGGATATATATATATATATATACACTTACACTTACACATATATATTCACACATGCACAAATTTACATATGCATATAAACATACATGGGTATAGATATAAGTATAGTTACAGATTATATATCTTGTACCAAATATTTGTGAGAATCACTTAGTCCCTGTGGAAGATGCAGATGGATCAGACACAAATTCTGCCTTTCTTTATACACCATGGACTGAAGGAAATTACATAAAGTCATAAAACGAAGATAGAAAATGCCACTGGACTGGGAGAAAACATTAAGAAAATCTGAGTCTATAATTACAGACAAGATACCTTTCGGAAAATTGACATTTGAATTTGGGGATACAAAAAGAATAAAAAATAACCAATAATAATAAAAGCTAACATCCTTTGAGCATTTACTATGTCCCAGGCTCAACCCTGAATGTCGTTGAAGGGTTATCATGTTTAACCATCAAAACAGCTTTGTGAAATAGGCACCTCTGTAGTCCTCATTGTGCAGATGAAGATACCAAGGTATAGGAAGTTGAAGAAACTCTCCTAAGATTAGAAAATGGAATCACTCATGGGAAGCTAACCATACAGCTTACATCTAAGGCACAGCTAGAATACAGACAATCCAGAATTATCTGTAAAATGGCATAGACCTATACATTTTCTAATTCTACTTTTTCCAGTGAAGGGTTTTTTTTTAGATTTTTATTTATTTTATTTTTTTAGAGAGGGAAGGGAGGGAGATAGAGAGAGAGAGAAACATTAATGTATGGTTGCTGGGGGTCATGGCCTGCAACCCAGGCATGTACCCTGACTGGGAATCGAACCTGCGACACTTTGGTTCGCAGCCCGTGCTCAATCCACTGAGCTATGAGAGCCAGGGCCCAGTGAAGGTTTTTATTCACTTTCCTAACATGGCACCATAGATTTATACCGTTCCTTTAATATTTTATTTTGTACTCCAAACAGAGCATAATAAATTATGAAATTATAACATAGTGCAAAGATTCGGAAGTTCACCTACTCAAAATTCTTCCTTTAGAGTTGAGAAAGCTATGGTATAAGACAGTTAAATTACTCGCTCCAAGTCATAAGGCTGGTGGCCAGTTATACAAATATATGAACCCGAACCTAGTTCACTAGGTCTTCCAAGGTGTTCTTTTTTTATTTTGTCAATACATCAATCAATTGAATAAGTGAAAAGGCAAGCAGATAACTATTGGCATTTTCATTGCTATAAATATTCCTCATCTTAAAAAAATTAAATTGCTTCAAAATTTTTTTAGTGGCTCTGATTTCAAACATTACTTTCTCTGTAAAAATCTATCTGGGAAACAATATATTTGTTAGAGATATGGATAAGTGAATTAGAATAGACTTTATTTTTTTTTACATACATGAGTGGTGGCAAGAAAATAGAATAAGCTTTAGATGCTACGGAAAACCCTTTGTTGAAGGCTGTTCAGAGCTTTGTGTCCTCTTTTAAATCTGATGCTCTTAACTCTGTAATATGTCTGTGTCTGTTCAATAGGCAATAGAGTCTCCAAAGTAAACCAGAGTAAGATTCTCTCTCCATCTGCAGGAAGAAAAGCCCAAGCAGGTGACTTGCCTGCAGAAGGACAAGGCTGGCCGTGAGCTGACTCCAGAAAGGTGCTGGAAAGGCAGCCTATCTGTGCAGATGTGCAGGAAGGAGAAACAGCATTTTTTTTTTTTTTGCTGTTGCTGTTAATGATAATAAAATGGGGGATTTTAAAAAATGAAAATGACATCTTGATTTTAAATTCTTTGCTTTTATAATATCTTTCCTACCAAGCTGAAAATGACTACAATACTCATCTGAAATAAAATTTAATATCACCAATTCTGTGGTGGAGCAAGCTCCAAGAACCACCGACTTGGGAGATCAATAACACAACCAACGCTAGAACTTACGTTTCCAACCCTCACTTTTATACTCAGACGACCACGCCATGCTGTGTAAGGAAACGTCTGCTTAAAATTATCAGCTTGCCTCAGTCCTTTAGGTGCCTCTTTGCTAAATTCAAATCCCACAAGGGCTTGAGTCTGAGCATAGGTTCTCAGATGGCTCCGGTGGGCTGGAGGATTTGGGGACGGGGGGCTCACTAAGTCTCACTATGAACAAAATTACCTGCTGATTTCTTCAGGAATCGATGTGAGCTGATTGTGATTCAGATTAAGCAGGATCAAATTTCGTAAGCCGTCTGTTGGAAAATAATTTTAGTCACTTTAGCTGTACGTTTGAAAATAATTTTTAGCTGCTTCCCTGTTAACTTTGTTTTCTTTCTGATTTTTGGCCTTAGCCAAGGCTCTCTGGGTTGCCGGTAACAGATAACCTCTAAAACTATCTTACACAAAAGAGCTGAATTTATCACAAAGTTACAGCTCTGCATCATGGTGCCTTGGGACAAAAGGTACAGCCAAGCTACCACAAACTGGAACCAGAAAGGCACTGCAAAGGGCACCAGAACACAGACTTGTAAAAAGCAACAACTCTGAACGGCAGTACCATAAACATGTACTGAGCATATGAATAAAGTCCAAAGGTTCTTTACTGGTGACATTCATCCCAACTAAACCCACAGTGGGAAACCAAATGCCCCATGCCCACCAGCGTCTGTGAAATCCGCGCTCAGTTCTGACAGGCCCAGCATGTCTGTGTGCCCAGACAAACCAATGCAGGCACACATGGCACTGTCTCCCTGCACGTGTGCACACCTGTCCATTCTCAGGGCTCACTTCTCTTGCCCGTGGTTCTGTGTCCTGTGCCCTGCCACACACAGCACCTCTGTGAGACTGTCCACAATGGCAGTCTCTAAAGAGCTGAGCAGGATGGACTCCCTGATGATGAGGATGAACTGCACATTGAGTGTGTTCAAGTGTCTGCAGCTCCAGAGCCAGGTTCTCCTTGGAGTGAGATGAATAGACTTGCACTGGGACATGGAACAGGTACTTTAGATTTTCACAAGAGATTCAAAGGAGCTGGGGAATTCTTAATTGTATTTCATAGAGAACATGTCCTCATCAGTCACCAGCTTCTGCATGGAGCTCAAGACTAAGCCAATGTCCTGGGGGACTGTGCACTTGATCTTTTCCCCCTGCTCTTCGTACCACTAGTGCTAGCTGTTGCATACAGCCATCATCTAGCACAGCTCTCCTGTGCAGAGTTCTGAGATGGTGCTGTACCACAGGATGACAGGGCAGACAAACGTTGTAGCTCATTGCAATCTCAAACTCCCAGGGCAGCACCACTAGCTGCTTGAACTTGAAGTCGGTGATTTCGGACTTGGTGTACTCCTGCTCCAGACATACCTTCTTCTCTGCATCAGGCTTCTTCCCATTGGGCTTCTCCCTGTTGGGCTTCTCTTTAGACTCCGCCATGAGCCAGGACATGGGCTGCACAGGCCTACTGCCCCCACTGCTGTACACACCAGGCCCTGTGACCACAGCAGTGGTGCTGGCCAGAAGCCATATGAATACAAATATATTTTACTATATAAACAAATAATATATACATGATGGTATGTAATTATAGGCTGATATATATGTATTGCTTTTGTGTATGATCACTCTTGGTAGACACAAAAATGGTCATGCTTAGGTCTCCAGGGCTTCAGATACTTCTGAACCACTATATCAGGTTGTGATGTCCAAAGAGACCCAGGCCATGCTCTAGGCCATTCTCCAGGCTAATTGTGTTCCCCACCCTGAGCTCCTCCAATCCTGTAGATTGTGTACTCTCTGAGAATCTCTGCAGCACAGAGAATGCAAGACATAGTTTCATCTCTCATTATAGCTCCTCTCTGCTTCATATCCATGTTTTCTCTACCCCTCCAATTCCTTCTCTCTTGAACAGATTTTCGCTAATTATCCATGTGTTCATAGCCCTCCTACAACTCCTGCTTTTAAATGTTTGCAGACGGGATAAACAGTTCCCAAACTGAAATGTCTGCAGGAATCAAGAAGACGACTCAGAACACAGTAGTGGGCTTCATGGAAGTGTACCTGGCCCAAGCATGCTGAGCTGGAGAGCACATGTCTTGTCTAACAGGGAGCAGCCACTCAGCCAGCTCCTAGCAAGTGCTGTCATATGGCAATGTGATTCCAGTGGTGCCTAACCTTTCTTTAAAAAAAAAAGAAAACAGACAAAAAAAACCCACGAATCCAGATTTTTATATGAATTCTCTTAATCTGTAAATCTTGGCACAAAAGTCAAACTTTTAAAAAAGCAGACAAAACAGTGCTGGTTGGGTGGCTCAATAGGTTGGAACATCATCCCATATACCAAAATGTTAAGGGTTTGATCCCCAGTCAAGGCACATACCTAGCTTGCAGGTTTGATACCCAGCTGGTATGTGTATGGAAGGTGATCAATGTTTCTCACTCTAATTGATCTATCTCTCTCTCAAAATCAATAAACTTATCCTCATGTAAGGATTTAAAAGAAAGTAGACAAAACAGAACTAACCTATTTGTGAACCAGATTCAGCCCATGGGCCACCAGTTTATAACCACTGTCTTAGTTCATGGAATTAGCTCAAACTAATTAAACTGTTTTAGATTTTATCGTAACTCCCAACAAAGAGTATATGATTGAATCAGCTCAGGACACATATCTAACCCTGGTCCAGTCTGCTCTTGTCAGGGGCCAGGGGACACATACACAGGGCTATGTAATATATGCTGGGCAGTGCTCAACTCCCTGACACCAAACTGTTTCTGCAGCTGAGTAATGACCTGTGTCGTGACCTGACACAGAACATAGTTTATGTCGATCACACGAGATTTTTCAATTTCAACAGCCCCAAATTAAGATGTACAGAAACTAAAGACATTCAGGGCACTCTACACAGATGACACATATTTTATAAACCTTACATTTAAGGGCAACAGGAGAAAAAGACTTTATGGAAATCTAAATTAGAACTAATTAGGTTGCTTCATATCATTTATATATATCAGGTTTTACTGAAATGTGTTCTCTCAGTATAGTTCATAAAATAATATTGTCTACTTGTTTCCATGCCCTGAATTTTTTCCTAGGTAAACTCTTTTCTTCCTAAGTAAATTATAGTTGGATGCTGAATCTATGGCTTTGTGTCTATAATGTGCATAAACATTGATAAATGTTGGTCACATTTTTTGAGTAAAAATATTTCTCCAAGATCTATTGTACTTTGAAAAGTACTTTGAAAAGATGGTACCAGAGTCTCTTGGTGCTATTTGCCAAATATACGCCTAATGTAGTGCCCCATGCAATAATACCCTTAATAAAGGCTGCTTGATTATTATAATTACATATAGTACCCAAGTCTCAAAAGTTCACAGAACCTTATAAACTCTATAATGTATCTTTAGTTTTACTACTGGGGACAAAAACATAGTGATGAAGTGCCTTACATGAGTTAATGGAGCTATAAAATTCACCTGAATTTCTTCATCATATGTTCTGTCCTTAAACCCACTCCACCTATATTAAATAGGTCGAGTTTCATATTGAATGGCAAAAAAATATAGGTCTAAAGGAAATACACAGAAAGAATGCCACTAATTGGATGTCCTATCTTTTCTTTAAAATTCTCCACAAATTAATTTAAACCTAAATCTTGAGCAAAGATTGTGACTTAGTATCTGAGACAGAATAAAAAGGGTGAAGAAAAAAGGAGAGCTGTGGAAAGATTTTCTTGATTTGATTTTCAACTAGTTTTCATTCTAGCACAAAGAAAGAGCCCACAGATTCAAGAGTCTAAGTGTACACTGATTCTGAAAAGGGGAAATTCCACTAATACTAAAGCTTACTTATTTTCTTAGGTCTACATGTAAAGAAATGTATAATATAATAGTTGAAAAAAGTCCCCAAAATTCCTTCGAATAGTGTGTAAATATCTCCAAAAAAAGAAAATCATGTACAATTCCTTTCTCACTTTAGTTCCAAATTGTTAAACATAATGAGGGGACTAAGTTTGATGCTATAATATTGCTTTTCTTTGACTAACTTACCACATGCTGCAGGTGCAAATCTATTAATTCTATTTCCAAACAAATGGAGCCTCTCCAGGGAGGTAAGGTATTTCATCTCTTCTGGAACTTCTTCTAAAAGGTTGTTTCCCAGATTAAGTGTTGTCAACTGCAAACATATAGAGATTTAATGGACTCATACATTATCTACCTTCAAAGGATAAAAAAAGGAAATAATTAGGCCCCTTTGCTGCAATCCATGTGACCTCACACTTCAACATGATCATACAAATTTTTCACATGTGCCTAAAATGATCTTTATAAATAAAGTTCATTTGAGCTCATCATGTTCAAACAACTTATGTTAATTAAAGCACAATTTAATTTTCAATTAAAGTACTTCACTAAAGTTGTATTACAAACTATTCCAAGAATATTCAAAAACACAATTAATGATTCATTTATAACTCACTTGAGCAATTCAAGAATGTCCTAACATTGTGACCCATAGACTCAAAACCATTAAAACATCAGCAAAGTCATTGATCTCCTGAAATCACATATATAGCCAAAAAGATGAACTCCACCTGTCATACTACTCCCAAAGGAGCTTTTTCATTTAGACGACTAAGACTTCTCTATTACATGGACAGAGGGAGAGGAAAGGGGAGGGCTTTAACATCACTCTGTGCGATCACAAAATTCTCCAAAAACTACTGACAAGGTGTGGTAGTGGGGCAAGAAGATCTGCCCCTATGTACCTGTCCTACCAATGACGCACTGGGTAGATGTAGGAGGTGCTGCACATAAGAGGGTTAGAAAGATCCTCCTTGATCCTCTGATAAATCGATGATACAGGATTGTTCTCTAAAATATGATATTTTTTCTTGGATTTGAAATCAAAATGTACCTTCTGGTCAAGGTCTTTTTTTTACTCCTAAACATAATATACCATTCAGATTTCATTACCAACTCCATACTCCAGGATTTTAACATTAAAATGTAAAAGGAAACATGGAAGTTTTCACAAATAAATAAGTTTATATAACACAAGAACAATTATTAAGAGAAAAATTTAGGCAATTACATTTTATGTAAATACCAAGTGGTATTTGGTGTGGATGTATGTTAATGATTTAAATTAATATAAAGTAGACATAGATTTATCTACAATGAAATTCCTTGCCCTTAGAATTCATGGGGAAGGCTCTACTTCCATACACTCTTTCCTCTGAGATTTACCATTGTCCCGGAAACAAAGGACCATATACCTTGGAGGCCTCATTCTTTTGTAAAGGTGAAGTTAAAATATATCTTGTTTTACTGTACCTCACAGGTGGTGTGCTTTTTACAAGTTGAAGGCAAGACCTTCCACTAGCAAAGAGATTACAATTTGCTTTATTGAAATTTTTATTATGTAGTCTGAAATCAAATGTGTAATATCTTCAAGACATGTTTGTATTCATGCAGCTATTCTTATGACAACCCTTAACCCACAGTCTGTGACTGTACTTGTTTCCTATTGCCACTGTAACAAATTACCAAAAATGTCATGGCTTAAAACAACACAAATTTATTATCTTCAGTTCAGGAAATCGGAGATCAGAAATGGGTCTCCATGACCTAAAACCAAGGTGCCAGTAGGGCCATGTCTCCTGAGGGGACAGTCGAATCCTTTGCCTTGTCCAGCTCACAGAGGCTTCCCCGCTGCTGTGGTTCCAGCTTGCCCTTTCCTCTTCAGAGCCAGCAATGACTGGGAGACTCTTTCTCAAATCACAGCACCCTGGTGTTCTCGTCCACATTTAAGACCCTCATAATAACAGTTGGCTCACCCAGATAATCCAGAACCATCTCTCCATCTCAAGCTCAGCTAACTATTAACTTCAGTTGCATCTGCATGCTCGATTCCCCTGTGACATGTAACCTAACATATTCACAGATTAAGGGGATTAGGATGTGGGCATTTTTGGAGGGCCATTATTTGCCTACCACAGTGAAAACTTTTCCAAAAAGGAGGTATATTTCATTATTTTGCCTAAATTTAGTAAAAAAAAGAATTGTAGTGCTTTGCTAGTGCTCAACAAAATTGCTGTGCTGCTGGTGAGGAACACAAAAACGTCCGGAGACATTTTACCTGCTCTGAGATTTTACCCAACTTGCAAAATAACAGTTAACTTGCCACCATTTCATAGATGATGGCAGAAAGCATGAGACCCCTAGAACAGAGACAAAGGACAATTTATTATCCACAGCAACAGCAGTGCCCAGATTGTTGCTATTTTTGTACCAGCAATGCAGGGATGTGCAGTGGGTTGTATTACACAAAAGAAAACATGAGTTAAGGAAACCGAGTCTTCTATAATGAGCATTAACCATCCGCAGCTGCCCTTTGTCCCATGGGGAGACACCATCTCTAACTCCCAAGGCTCTTTGCTACATAAATATCCTGGAAGAGTGAGTCCAGAACAAAGGCAGTCAGTACTTCTGCTTACAAAATGTGCAAAAGCAGGAGAGATACATGAATTGTTGTTACAGGGTGCAGCCAAGAGGGGGGACCCCAAATGGGCATTTAAAATGGGGTCCAGAACTCCAGGTGTCCAGGGGATTTTTGGATGTCCTCACTCCCACTCCCCAGGTGTGGGTTGGGGGAAGGGACAAATGGAGCAGGGCCATTGAGAGCTGTTTTGCATAGCAACAGCCTTGCAGCTAACCTCTGGTGTGGTCATTTAACACATCTATAGCCTTTGGCTGGTCGCTTTGATATGTTAAATAGCTGTGGCCATGCTCTGAGCCAGGGGAATGGAAGTAACTTCCCCACCAAGATGTGACTGGGGGCAGGTCCCCTGAGCTACAGCGCCTGCGAGGGAGCTTGGGGAAGATTGACTCCAGGACTTGGGGCCACACCTGCCCAGACTCATGATGGCAGCCCAGTAAAGCTGGAAGGATATGAGTTCTGGCATGTGAAGCCGAGTGTGGGAGGAGTCGGAAATGGAGCTGCAGAGGAAGATTGGCGTGGGGATTTAAACCCAGACACGGCAGCCATTGAGGGAGAACCATGCGCAACCCTGAGAGGGAGAACCATGCAGCTGTGGAAGTGCAGAGAGGATCACGGCTACTGGAGGGAGAACCACGCAGCCTTGACAGAGTGAAGACTCCCATGGCCCTGGGAGAGAGGACCACGTGCCTTTGCCAAAGTGGGGACCCCCGCAGCTTTAGAAGGGGAACCACCGCCTGGTTTTAGCAGAGATCCCGGCGACTCAGCTGAGGGTGCCAGGAACCCAGGGAGGTCTCCCAGTTGAGATGGAGTACTAACTGGGAATAACCAGAGGACTGCCTGAGCCATGGACTTCTATTTCCTTTCCTGAGATACGGTACTCTGGACTGGGCAAAGAGGGAAGGAAGGAAGGACTGTGTCTTGTTTGTGGGTGTTTTAAGGGACTTTAGGATTTTTTTGATAAAGACATTAGGTCACTACTTTAAGTTTGTATAGCATTAAATAAACATTTCCTTTCCTTTTCATGAATCTCTGGCATTGAGAGACGTCTTTTCTCTGGCGGCAGACATGACGGACCTGGGGGATTTTTTTCAATAATAGTATATTGTCCCAGGCCCCCCCTTTTTGTTCTGTAACATTGTCTCCAACAAAAAGATGGCCATATGTAATTTTAAGTTGTTGCCAGTTTTTATTTTGTCAGTTTTGTTAATGGCAATATGTATTTTTTAAAATAGACAACAGGAAATATCACTTGTAATTTCCCACACCATCCATGTTTTCCAAGTATTTTTGAGGGCACAGACTGTATAATGCTCATTTTGTAGACTATGCCCTCAGTTCTCATGTATGAGTTTCACTTTTGTCATTGTGTTTTACAGAACCTAAGGACATGGCTCAGATACAAGATAATACAGTAATTTGATATCACAGTATGTCAAAGAAAATTGTAAGATATAAACAAGGTTGACTATAAAATTCAGTTTTATTTAATTTTGAAGACTTACAAATATATCCACAAATAAATGATGAAAAAATGCAGTCTAAACTGCTCATATAACCACCCACCCCTAATGAAGCAGGTGGCTCAATATTCATTTAAAAATATGCATTGTATGACTACTATGAGCCACTAGTTAGTTCTAAGTGTTGAATATAAAGAGGTGAATAAGACATGTAAGATATATTTACCTGGAAAGCACTTACACAGTAACAGTGAGAGAGCAAAAACACAATGAATGAATGAATGAATGAATGAATGGTTAAACAAATTAATAAGAAAAAAAACTAGACCACTAAATTACACCATACAAAAAAATAAACTCAAAATGGATTAAAGACATAAATGTACTCCATAAAAACATTAAAATTTTAAAAGAAAATATAGGCAGTAAAATCTTAGACATTTCTCATAGCAATATTTTTGCCAATACATCTCCTTAGGCTAGGAAAACAAAGGAAAATAAATGAGACCACATCAAATTAAAAAGCTTTTGCACAGCAAAAGAAACCATCAACAAAGTGAAAAGACAACCCACTGAATGGGAGAACATATTTTCCAATTATACATCTGATAAGAGGTTGACTCCCAAAATATATGAAGAACTTAAACAATTTAACATCCCAAAAGACAAACAACCCAATTAAAAAATGGGCAAAGGATCCAGATAGACACGTCTCCAAAGAGGACTTACAGATGGCCAATAGACATATGAAAAGCTGCTCAATGTCACTAATTATCAGAGAGATGCAAATTAAAACCACAATGAGAGATCACCTCACACCTGTCAGAACAACTATCATCAATAAATCAACAAACACGTGCTGGCAAGGATGTGGAGAAAAGGGAACCCTAGTGCACTGTTAGTGGGAATGCAGAGTGGTGCAGCGACTTTGGAAATTAGTCACTGTGTCAATCTCTTTAAAAATTAAAAATGGAACTGTCTTATGACCCAGCAATCCTGCTTCTGGGAGTGTATCTTAAGAAACCCAAAACACTGATTTGAAAGAATATATTCACCCCTATATCTATTGCAGCATTATTTATAGTAATTATTTACAGTAGCCAAGATCTGGAAATGGCCCAATGTCCATCAGTTGATGAGTGCATAAAAAGCTGTGGTGCATTTATACAAATACTACTCAGTTGTAAAAAATAAGGATATCTTACCTTTTTT